TCTATTCTATATATATATATTTATTTTTTCTGTTTGCATTACAGACCATGTAGATCTTTTGCCACCTTAACAAGTATGCTCAATCTCTACCTGTCTTGGGCTATTTTTTGCCATTTATCTGCACGCAGCTCTATTGTATCTTTGTTGATTCTATCTATCCATTTGATTTTTGGCCTCCGACGTGGTCTTTTGCCTACTATAATAAAAATAGCCCAAGACAGGTAGAGATTGAGCATACTTGTTAAGGTGGCAAAAGATCTACATGGTCTGTAATGCAAACAGAAAAAATAAATATATATATATAGAATAGAATAGAAGAATCAACTTTATTCTGGGACAAAATCCCTTGAGAATAAAAATATTGTACATAAAAATTAACTTAACAACTTGCCAAAATGCATATTACAATAAAAAAAAAACACAAAAAAACTTAAAAATAAGTAATAACAGAAGGATTTACATAACTATACTGATATATTAAAGACATAATATGAGCAATAAGGTCCCAATACAGCAAGACAGTTACTAAAAACAATAAACTATGGAATTTTAACTGAAATTTGAAATGAACGACAAATTACTTTTGTTGTCATAACATTGTATTAATGAAAAAAAATAATATTAAAAGAGTGGATAAATATTTACTTTAAATGACTTACATATGTAATTTAATATGTTCAAAGAATACAATAATAGTATTGTAAGCATTATACAAGTCCTATATAATCTAAATCCCAAGATGTAGATTGATCGGTGAAAATAAAAGAAATATATGTGTGTGTGAGTATGCTAAACTTAGCTATCGTATAGTGAATATCTTCATAGTACCTGACATAACTATAAAGTCATTAGAACTATTATATTTAAAAATGGTGTAAAATATTTATTACAGGGACAAATTTAATAATAAAGGAATAAAATATATATAGGTACTTATTTAATATATGTTTTATTAGGTATCAAATAGGTATTAAAATATCAAACCTGATCAATAATCAATTACAGTTGGATTAAAATATCTGATACAATTATTGAAATATCAAGCCCAAGTGCCAGTATGCATACCGCTGGGTATCTAGTCCAGGTATCAGATAAAAATATCAGATAAAAGTATCCGATGCGAGTATCAGATAAAAATATCGGATACAAATATCAGATAATGGAAAGAAATAGCCCAAGAGAGGTAGAGATTGAGCATACTTGTTAAGGTGGCAAAAGATCTACATGGTCTGTAATACAAACAGAAAAAAAAATATATATATATAAATATATATGTGTGTGTTTATGTTAAACTTAACTATAAAGAATTTTTTTAATTGTTACAAAATTCTTAAGAACGTTGTATTAGGAAAATATTTCCTCTGCATGAATTTGTTATATTTTTATTTAATATATTCCATTCTTTTGTCAAATATGAAGCATATTTTGTTTAAAAAATTGTGTAAATATTTTCTTAGTACCTGACATAACTATACAGTCATTAGAACTATTATATATTAACTAATAAACCCAAGCGCCAGTATGTATACCGCTGGGTATCTAGTCCAGATATCAGATAAAAGTATCCGCTGCAGGTATCAGATAAAAATATCTGATACAAATATCAGATAAAAATATCCGATACAAATATCAGATAAAAATATCCGATACAAATATCAGATAAAAATATCTGATACAAATATCAGATAAAAGTATCTGATACTAGTATCAGATAAAAATATCCGATAGCAGTATCAGATAAAAATATCTGAAATTAACATTACATAAAAAAAAAAAAAAATAAGCGTGAATATATTTATCTACAAATAAATATTTAATTAAATTAAACTAAATGAATAGATAGTTCTAAAAAAATTGTGCACAACTAAAATTATAACTAAACATTTCTCTTATATCAATGTGGCATGTCTGGACAACCATTTTGTATCCATGTGAGCATCAGATACTTTTGTATCAGATACTTTTTGGTTGTATCTACTGGTTGTATCAGATACTTTTTTAGTATCAGATAAAAGTATCTGATACATACAATCCGACCCATCCCTAGTTTATAGCTTGAAGTTGGTACCCTGGTTCTCGCGTGGCTATGTCTCTGGTCAGAAGAGGCTTTAATTTAATCTGAGTTGTCGCACATTTCCTAAGAACTCTGATAAGTTTGTGTGATGTTCTCAGTGAGAATAATCCTCTCTCTGACTCAAAAAAATACTCAGTAAGTGGGTACTACCGTAACGCCGTCCAATAATAATAATAATTTTTGAAAGTCATCATGAGAGAGCCATTCATAACTTAATACTTTCCTTCACTTTCAATTGCGAGAAAAGTAATTTTTAAACTTATAAGAATGAAATCCATTTCTTTTAAGAGTTTAACCGAACAAAAACAATTACTTATACTCACTAGCGGATCCAGGATTTAATTTTGGGAGGAGCTTCAGCCCGAAAGATTTTTTTTCGTATACATACAACGATAATTAATTTGAAAAAAAAGAAAGAAATTAACTACCAATATGAAATGGTTTTTAAATGGTTCCTGAAGTCCTATCAAATGTAATTAAATGAACAAGAATACTTTAAGAGATAGTTTTTAATATTTTTTTCTGTAAAATATGGTTATATTTTACCATTTTGGAGGCTTGTATCTCATGGTAGCCCTACAATTAACGTGAGGTTGTGTGTTGTCGAACCCTTTGCTCTGCATTATCTCGAAAATGGTACCTTTTTGGGCTTGAAAACGGATCTTGATGTACGCATCAAAATCTTGAAAGCCCAATTTGTCGTGTATCGATCTACAGGCTTACCACCGTTCCAGTATCGATGCCTAGTAAAATTTTTATATCTACTTTATTTATTTTAGAAAGAAAAACAAAATGGAGAGTACTATTTTGAATTCAATGGTACGCCATTTGAGCATGGCAGGAGCTTATATTTGGTACAAAACCGATTTCGAGCCTTACTGTAATAATATATGTGGGGATAATGAACATTTTTAACCGACCAAGAAAAACAATTACCCTACGCCCTTAAAATTTTAGTCCCTTACTTTGCAAAATGCGTTGAGTCCAATATTGGAGTTAAAAATATGCGTCCGCAACTTTTCTCCTTGATTATTGGGTTGATTTTTTTTTTAAGTCAAAAGTCACCCCATGAAGTCCTTTGAAACTCAATATTAGCATCCACCACTTCGTTTTAAAATGGTGACCTATTAGATGTTTCATACGCTGATGTCACCGATTTTTTTTCGAGACAGCTGTTTTTTTATTTGGCACCAAGTTCAGGTCAGGTCACGCCGGGATTATCCTTATTTTGGTTCTTTAAGAAAGTAGAGAATAAATATAAGTTTTTATATTTTTAATTTTTGGAATCACTTGAAGTCTTAAAAAAGAAATATTTATTTGAAAATAATAAGCCATCATTCTATAATTTAAAATTACATTTAAGTAATTAAAATATCTATAATCTGAATTAATTAGTTGTACTCTATTATAAATGTCCTTTATTGAGACAGATTGTAATATCTATCAATAAAAAAAGAAAAAAAAAAAAAAAATTAGTTGTGTTATAGTGTTTTCGACGAATCAATATTTCTGGATTGAAATCCTAATTTGATGCCTCAAAAATAATTAATAGTTCTTTGTGGTGAACAAGTTATGTTCCTCTTTGGTGTTCTTTTTAATTTTTTGTTATTTTTTAGTGTTATTTTTCGTAACTTCCGTTCTACATCGGCTATCTAATTCTTCATTTTGATATTTTTACTTAACAATTTTTAATTCGTATTTAAACTTTAATTGTTTATAGTGTATTAGTCTTTTTTTATTAATAGAATCGTGCCCAATAATTATGAAAAACTGTTGAGATTTTTCTTACCAAAGATGTTTGATAAAGAACAGGATGCATCCTAACAGGGAGTTTATTATCCTATTAGATGTTAATAGGTAAGTTAATAATTCTTCTGTTATCCATTTCTTGTTAATTCTGAAAACGTAAATATTTTGGTTTAATAATCTTTTAAAGTGGCAGTTAATGGTTGAAGTTTGACATGTATATAATACATGTACAGTAGTACAATCAGTCATTAAAATAACGGTACTTCTATAAGGTCCATTGAATGGGTATTTATTATTGTTTGATAAGAATTAGTTTAGATATGACATACTTAAGTTATTTATTAATTCACTTTATGAAAAAAATAATCATAAATCGCTCAATCATGACTAGTAATTTAAATATTTTTTTTTAATGAATTGTTTTTTGTTAATTGTTAATGTGAAGTGTCCATGTTGCTAATTATAGATGCATTTAGACATTTCTTTAACTATGAGACAAACATATATAAATGGTTATTTCACTATGCTTCTATTTTTGTTTCTTGTTTTTGATATTTTCCATCTGCTATTGGTATCAAGAGAACCTGCTATTGGTTTAATAATGATATAGCTGTTAGTTAAGTTAGATAATTGTTTTGTTTTTTTCGTGCGAAACTGATTACTTTGATACTGCCTTATAAGTGTTGCTATATTTGATGGGTGGGCACAAGATCTCACAATCATACTTTAAGTGAAATTCGGAGAATTGCGGAGATGTGAAACTGTCGAACTATCTTGTAAGGCTCCAATCTTAACTGAAAGGGGCCTCCTTGTTTTGTATCCATTTGAGAGAGAATTCCATTTATTTTGTGACCAATCATCAAAGTGAAGCAGCAGTTGTAAAGTATTAGGTACAAAAAAAAAAAAAAAAAAAAAAAAATCAGTCCATTCTTTCAAGAGATAATATAACATGGGCTGACAGATTTTAATGTCTTACAAGCCACATATGTACATTTTTTTTCTTCTGTTATTGCAACTCAACATGATAATAACTACTCTAAGTTTCATTTATTTTCCCTCTGTCACATATCTAGACAGCATAATTGTTATTGCATGATAATAAAAATGTTATTTGAATAACCAAAATCGTTAAGGAAAACAGTTAAAAAATATTTTAAAATTTGGTTATTTATTTCAGAACCCACCTAATTTCCTGATCCAGGCAGAGTTGGGCAGCTATGTGACACCCGTAGTGATCCTTCCTCCTGAGGAAGATACTATATCCGAAGCATCAGACCTTGTCGACCTTGCAGCTCCTAATGGCAACCACTCGCCAATAGGTCTTATAGCTGGAAGGTAAGTCAAAGTGTTAGTCTCAGTTCTAAAATGCCATTTTTCACTCATCGTCTATGTTTATAAGTTCTTAAAAATGTACCAGTTTTTGGCAGTAGTAGTAACTTGCTATGAAAAATGTTTTTATCTCTCCTTAGCTTCATTATCAACTAGCTCCTAATGGCAACCACTCGCCAATAGGTCTTATAGCTGGAAGGTAAGTCAAAGTGTTAGTCTCAGTTCTAAAATGCCATTTTTCACTCATCGTCTATGTTTATAAGTTCTTAAAAATGTACCAGTTTTTGGCAGTAGTAGTAACTTGCTATGAAAAATGTTTTTATCTCTCCTTAGCTTCATTATCAACTAGGTATATTTCATGAATTTTTTTCTTTCTTTTTTAAATTAGTATATATATATATATATGTATTTTAAATTGGTCATTTAAAATGAAAAAAAAGAAAGAAAGAAAAAAGTGAATTATCTCTGAATTTACTTACAATAGACCACTACCAATGAAATAAAAAGTTTGTAGAGCACTTAAGGTTGTAAAAACTATAAAAAAAACAGAACAGAATTTGGTGGTCAGTCTATAGATTGATATATAGTTGATTATTTAAACTGTAAAAATATGGGGTATGCAGTCAGTTATTGTGTTTATTAAGTTTGTCAACATTTCAACCCAAACATGTAGGTCATCGTCTGGGCAATGGTTTGCTATTAAATTTGGCAACATTTTCAATGAATATTTAAATTCAATGGCTTGTCTTGCAGCAAACCATTACGCTGATGATGACACATGCTTGGGTCAAAACATAAGAAAATTTAATAAACACGATTATTGACTGCATATCCTGACTTTTTTTTCATCCATATGGTTAATCTATGTATTAATAAATACCAGGTTCTGTTGTTTTATATGCTTTGTTGATTTATAAAACATTTGTTTGTTTGCTTAGGATCAAGCTTCCTCTTTTTGAAATGTTGATATACCACTTTCTATGCTATTAGTTAGTTATTGCTAATGATATTAGGTAGTAAGGCAAGTTGGTTTGTCATGTTGACAGGGACAGCCTTATAGAGCATTTACAGTCGGAGCTGAAAAGATCTCGGGCTGAAATTGCTCGCATGGCCTCAGAGCATGAGATTATTGTCCTCAAACTCAATGATAAAATCTCAAAGATGGAGATGCAGCTTCTTTCAAAGGTACTTTGAAACCACGTTTCACATATTTCTCTGATAATCTTGTTTTATTTTGTAATATTTAATTTGTGTGTTTGCAGGAAACTGAATTAGAAAACGAAAAAAAAGCCAGATTTGACTTCCAACATTCTGAATTATTGAAGATGCAGGAAGCAGAAAGTATGTTTTTATGAATTTTGAGAGCATGCTGTTAAGTTTGTTTTAAAGTTCATCTTTTATTTATTGTTTTCTTTTAATCAGAAAGAGCAAAGCTTATGGAAGAAAAATTCCTCAAGTTAAAGGAGATATATACAAAACTCAGAGATGAACACATTCAGCTTATTAGACAAGTATGTATTTCTCAGCTTTAATTTTTAGAAGTGATGTAATATTATATAATAGGCTTTGTACTTTTTTCTTTCATTTTGATTCAATGGATAGTTTAGTTATAATTTGTCTGCTTTAAAAAACATATATTACTTTTTTGAGCTGACTGTATTAAGTGCTGAATATGGCTTCGATATTTGCACTATAGTTGTTTGTCAAGTGTTGAAAAAGAAAGAGTAAGTGTTTTACTTATCACGTACCCTAATACCAAAGGCTCAAAAGTTTGTTCTATTATTCACATTAATTACTTATTATGTTTCTATCCATCTTTAAACAAGTGAATTTTTAAAAAAATATCTTGATGACTTATACAATTTTTTTCTATCGATTTTAGGTGATAAATATTCATATTGGCAATATATGGTGAGAATACTTTTGTCTTACACCACCAGAAACTTTTTTTAAATTGTAAACTTTTTTTTGGCTTTATGTTGCAGTCTATATTGCTTCAAAACCTAGTCCTCAAGTTTTAATGATTGGATTGGATACCTTACCATATCAATTTAATCCAAAATCTATAGTTTCTCTTCTTCATCTCTTAAAATTAAATCATCTGTCAGTTTTAGGAGTGTGAAATGTTGCTTATATACATTCTTCAAATTTTCTAGTTTAAAGAAACTTTATATTAAATTTTCTATTGCCCACTTTTTTATTTATCGTTGAATCCACTTTGTACTTTTAGAGCTTATCTCTTTTTATATATGTCTATAATAATTTGTTTAAGTGGATGAATAAATTTGAATAATTGTGCTACGAGTTTCTCTTTTGCATTCACTGCTTGCATACACTCGGTCCGATGTTAATTTAATGATAATAGTTGAGAACAATTAGTATATAAGTAGGATTATTTATTTATTAGTTTATTGAGTCTTATAGAGTTGTTACACCCTGCACTTTGAATTAGGAGATACATAATAAAATGGAACATCATATGAATTTGATATTTTGAATTCATAAATTTACTTTAAGTTAATTTTTCATTAATTTTTTTGTTGAAAATCAACAATCAGATTATAGAGATTTATGGTTCTTTGATAAGTTAGGATCTTCATCAATCTTCTGATAGCTTTAGTTTATCGGGGCTTAGCATCTGAGAAAGACATTTTCTCAAATGATCATCTGCTATGATAAAACTTTCTTCAGTTTTTTGTAGATGTTTTATTTTTCTTAAGGTTAGATATAGGATGTAATGAAGAGGAGAGGGATATAATGAATATTTGACTGTACAGAAGGCTGGAGTGGACAAGGCTCTAAGGGGCTCTGACAGAATGACTAAGTTCGCCCGATCTGCTAACAGCCTCATTCTGAAGATTGTAAGAAACCAGCTACGTTCAAATATATGGGAAGGGAATGTCCTCTCGATGTACATAGGGTGGTGGGTCATATGTACATAAAGCATGAATCATTTATTTACGTTAATGCACGAAATTTCTGTTTAATAGATCTGATAATATGCCTTTGGGATGAAAACAACTTTTACAGGTGAGGAAAAGAGAGAAAAAACATAATTTTTTAAAAACTGAAGATTGGTAATTTATTGTCTAAAATCTATTCACAATATAACATTTTTTAGTCTTTTTAAATCTTATCACCTTACAATTTATATATTTTGAAAAATAATATGATTTTAATTATAGTAAATTTTTTTCTAATAATATTAAATAAATAAAACGATAGCAGAATGGAAATAGAATCCTACCTCCCTCCTTCCCTCTCCCACACTGGATTGAAATGGAACAGCTTTGTGTTATCCAAACAATATCTGTTTCCATTAATTTTGATTAATAAAATTACCTAATGAGTATTAGTATAAAAAATAATGTACCTTAATACCGTGACCCATTGGTGGTTCTTGAATACCAAATTTGTATTTGAAGGACTGGCAAAGATGATGTTTAATGATTTATTTTGAGTAAGATTAGACAATTAACCTTATCTGTCCTAAGGTTCAGAATATACTAGCATATCTTCTTAAACATTTTGGTGGGATGTTAATGAAGTTAATATTGATGAATATTGAAACTAGGTGTATTGCTCTAATGCTTACCATTAATCTATATACAATACGTTAAGTTACTTCCGCTTGTATGTTTACATGTACAGATATAGGAGACACAACTTTTAAGGAACCTTAAAGATTGGAAGATAATGAACTACTACTACCAAGTTTTAATATTTATAGACTAACAACCGATCAATATGTTTTTTTCGTATGTTGGTCCTCATCAAAACATTTTGTTTTTTATTATCCTATTCCATGACTTTTGACTTCCGATATGAGTCTTCTAACTGCTCAGTATAGGTATATCTCATTTTGATATAGTTTATGATCGTATATTTGACAAAGCAGGACATGAGTCAAGGTGGGCTACATCCTTGGTGAACGCCCTGTTATAGATTTTACAGAGGGTTCTGTAACACCTATTTGTTACAGAACTGTTATGTAGATGTTTTTTAAAATAATAATGCTCGGTGATCATCTTGAAATCTGCAACTGCCTGTTTTATTGATTTATTTCATGGAACATACTCATTTTCCTCTGGTAATACAACCTTTTGTTCACCCCAAGCAGGACTTGTCTATTCCTAGACCGATTTCTTTTGTAGGAATCTCAGTTTATTTTCTTGCTCATTGACGCGTTATCCTATTCGCCACCTGAAATTTAGTTGTTTTCTCCTACAATGTTATTACCATGCAGGCCACAGTGTCCAGAAATCCATTGGAGTACAACTTCGTGCTGTGTATCTACCGAAATCCTGTCACCAAATCCGAGATATGCCAATTACCGAATAATTGGAGTAATAAAACTTGAAAATTGATGGAGCCATTCGCTCCAAAATTGTTGCGTACTTACAAATGATCAAGCTATACAAATAATCCTTATTGTGGTGGCACTGTAGATAGGTAAAAAAAAAAGCTAAATGATTAAGTAGACAGGAGAATGATGTATATGAATACATGTTACTCTACCTTATCATAATTAGGTATTTTGGTCAAGATTTTTTCTTATTTATTTCTTACACGCACATATGCACCTGTAATAAATTTAGTAAAGTTGAGATGTATTTTTAACTTCAAATTGGAATAATGGTTTCTTGACTGAACTAAGGCTCAGTAAAAATAGGAAGATGTGAAAATTCCAACTGTTCCAATCATTAATAAGTTGTTTTGTAATTCACTCCATTCTTGTCTTGTTTTTTTCTCTTATGCCTCTTGACTTGCGGCTTTCGCCATGAGTCTTCTAGCAGCCCAGTAAATGTCTGATTTTTAGAAATTCAGATACTCAGACACTTAAAAACAATTTGACAATGGAAACAACATCCGCCTCAATTATTTTTATAAAAAATGTATTTTAATTTAAATGTAAATGTAATAAACGACTAATTGTTTATCATGTATGGCTATGACAATGAGTTGGTTTTTGAGAAAATTTTTTTTATTAAGTATATAATGGATAGCAACTACCAGAATGAATTGTCCTCTAAGATGGGTCAGAAACCCGAAATATCGGACTAGGTGATAATTAATAAATTTTTCGAGGAGTCGGTCAGGGGGTTTTGACCGCACCCCCCCCCCCTCTGACCAACTCCTCATATTATATCATGGTCAACCATCTCTACATCATTGATAAATATTTACATATCGAAGAGATGCCTTCAATTAAAACTTAAGAACCAATATAACTCTTCCTCATCATAAAAAAATTTATATTGAAAAAATAAGTGAAGTATGTATTGGGATGATATTTAAGGTTTTTTAAATCTCATAATTTTTAAATCTATTATGAGATCTGAAACCAAGGAATTGGGTGTAGGGGTAGAACAGCATAATGGTTTTTGAACATCAAGATGGAAGGGGATATAATGCAGGAATCTGTTTAAGAAAATGGAGTGTAGTTGTGGAGAATTGATGACATTAATAAAATGAATAAAAATAAAAATGAAAATGGCGAAATGATTTTCTTAAATATTTAATAGTCTATTGATGGTATTTAAGTAGGGCAGGGGAGAGAAAAGTTAAAGAGAGCATCTGATATTTTGGACTATATGGATGCTTTGAGTTATAGATTAAATATCGAAATGAAATATATTTAAAAAAGAGTTTGCTTCATTGCGACATTAAATTCCTTTCCTAAAAAGTAATGGCAATAACACAAATATTTTTGGACTGCATGAGATGCCCGAATTGTTTATTTTAAGGATTTGCTTTCATTAAAATAATATGTTGTTTACCTGTTTAGTTTCAATGCAAAATATAATGCTTTTTTTATAAATAAAAAAAAACAGCTGTGATATAAAAGCAAAACTCAAGTTTTTACTGCTTATTTTTATGAATTTTTTTTTCTGTTTAAAATAATATTGCTTGTTATTTTTTAATGATAGCTATGTATCTATTAAATTCGTTAGATATGTTTTATTTTATAACCATTATTTTATCTATTGATTTGTGGAATTAGATAAGGCCAACTTAGATAAGATAGATAAATCCAACTTTTTATGTCTGATATACCAGTTTTTTTTTTATAAATTTTTAGTTAAGTTGTGACAGATATTATCTTACCATCTTGGATGGACTCATATATGTTAATAAGAGTCAGACATCTCTAATTAAATTTCAAGAGATTGAAAAATCATTTGGACTTATGCTTAGTTTGGTTAGAAAGTATTTGAAGAAATATAGGTAATATTACTATCCACGAAAGGGTCTTAAATGAAAGGAATTGAACTCCTAAAGAGATTTAAATATCAATACCTGTTTTGGTAATATTGATTTAACAAGATTGAGCTAATGATATAATGTATTTTTTTTCAAAATAACGCTAAATTATAATTAAATTTCTCCCAAAATCATTTTAAAGTTATCCATCTTATTATTATATTTTTTTTAATTGTTTTTTTTTACTTACCAGTAATTTCTTTAAGATCTGATGTAATTTCTTAAATGACTATAACTAAACTTGATGTACCGGTTTAAAATAATATTTTATTAGATTAAGTATATTTCATCGATGAAGTATTAATGAAAACGAAAATCTCATAAACTTTTATGAGTGGGTTCATATCAAAGACATCTGTCATTTTCAGAAAGTTGAGACAAAGTCAATTTTTGTTTTATAGGTTTATCTCAAATTATTTCTGATGATTTAATTAAAGAATGTTCAAGTTGAATCATGAAAATAAATAATTAGAATTAGTTTAAATTGAAGTTATGTTACAGAAAATTGGCTTTTTCTCAACTTTTTAAAAATGAGAGATGTCCCTCTTTGATATAAAGCCGCTCTTATAATTATGTAAATAAAGCTAATAAGTATCAAAATACTTTATAACAATTTACTCATGAGTTAAATTAAATTAACTTAAAAATAATTTTAATTTAATATTGCTGATTAGTTCGTTTTCCTCAACATCTCAAGTGTTTCATTATCAACACTCAACTCTTATTTGTATTATTTATATTTATATTTATATGTATTTGTTATCTCTTGTTGATAAGAGATTTTACACTCTAGAAATTGAGAATATGTTCAATACTCTATCTCTTAGCACAAAGTATCGCACAAAAAATTATATTTTTTTGTATTTTATTTTGAATAAAATTTAGTTGAAGTTGTTTAATTGACTGAAAAATTAGCTTACCATTTTATTATTATAGAAAGCGGACGTAGATAAACAGCTATCGACAATTCAATGCCAGCAGTCTGATTTAAATGAAAAAATGAAGTTGGAATCTTTAGCATTGGAGTTGGCTAAACTCCAGGCAACGGTTGATTCCATTTCTGAGCAGAAACTAGTAAGTAATTAAACATTATTTACAGTAATTAAACATTCAAATAAATACAGATTGATTTTTAATTAAAATAATTAATTAATAATTGAATTAATTTGCTCTAATTAATTCCTGTATGTATTTTCTCCATAGAGGTAAGTAAAGCAGACCATTCAGTATTATAATTTGAGGTGATTTACTGTTCTCTTTAGAAAATCATTCTGAATTGAGTAAATTTAGGTCCATTTTTTTTGGTAAAGTAGTTAAAGTTATTCCACAGACCATTATTATTATTTGTTTTCTATATTTATTTAAAACTTCATGTTACACAACTTCTATACATTTCTAATTTTCTATTCATTTCTAATTTTTTCTATACATTCTTCACAACTTCTAAATAATTTCTAATCAAATGATGAGGGCACTATTTCCAAAGCTATTAGGGTTCAGCGTCATTAGCAATGAGTATTCCTACCTCTATAATATACCTCCTATCCATTTTAGCAGGTTCCTTGATAAACGGCAACCACTATAAGAAACCTCTTTGTGATGAGGACATAATAAATCTTAAACAAATCCTATAGGCATGCCTTAATGCACCTCTCAAGTTCCATACCCATTTGTGAAATTATAAGAATTGAAGAGAAAGCTCACGATTGTAGACATAACTTGCAAGGGTGATTAATTATTTTAATAGTTTTCTCCTATAAACTGCTATCAAAAGCAGTTTAAAAAATAAGTATATTCAATGAAATATATTTTTCTTTTGAATTTAGATTGTTTAATAGAATTTTGTTATTAAGCAATCTTTTTGTCTTACCAAATATATTGGCAATAATGACATTTATTGACAAGAATTATTTCCTTTAGCAATTACTTTGTTTTTATTTGCACACACATTCAGGTTGTCAATTTTTACAGGCTCTAGAGAGAAAATTAAGAGAGATTTCGGAAGAGAATCAAAGCATTGAACAACTCCTGCTAACCAAAGAAACTGAAAGGTCTGAAGCATGTGAAAAAGCCGCTGCTGCTGAAAAGGAAATCGAGAAGAAGGATAATCTGCTGAAAGAACTTTTTGGTAAGTTTTCCTAGCTAATTAATTCTCTTGAAAATATGTAATGAGGCTTGATATAGAAAAAAGTATGAATGAGTAGTAGGATCTTTGAAATATTTTACACTAGTGACTTTACTTTATATTAGGCAATTTGTCTTTGAATTTTATATTTATCTGTTTTAGATAAAATTATCATTGAATGTAAAGAGATTGTGAAGAATGCCATTCATGAAGTGGACAATCCTGCATTCTCATCAGCCACATGTTCTATTGGTAAGGGAAAAATGATTCATAGCTTTTAATTCTGAAATTAAATAACTATCAAGTAGGTATATCTCGGTACAATAATTGTTTACTTGAATAAATTTATACTTTACTGCTGGGCTGCAAAAACTGATTAAATGATTTTGGCTTACAAAAAAATATGTATAAAATAATTAATTGAAGTATCATTTATATATTTACTCCCAAAATCCATTTCTTATTATGCTGTTTCATGGGGCTTATTGTTTTTCCTCGTTTCGATTATCCCTAATTTCAATTCTGTTCTTCTGTTAAAAACTTTAAAATTCTCTTGAGGAAGGAGATAAGATGTCCAAAATATCCTATCATTCCCAACACTTTCATAACTCCTAGGATCTCCTTTCTATTCATATTTTCCAAATCAGGATTTTTTATTTACAAAGTTCATTTCCATTTGAACAAGAATATTGTTCTGGCAGTTCAAGTCAGGTCTTTGGTAGTGCTATGTATTGAACCTAGCAGATAGTAATCTTTTAAACTTAATATGGGCTACGGAAGACGAAGTTGTAAGAAACCGACTGCTGACATCAAAAGCAAGGATGGAGAGCAGGTAAATTAAGGATAAGGGGCTCTAGCGAAGGCCTCTACTCAAAGTAACTAGTAACGGGATAAGTAACTGGTTCCTTTTAGGGTGTTACCAGTCATTGTGAAGTTATAGGGTGAAGTTCGGAACCAATCAAAACCATCCTTGCCCCATTCTGAATATTTGTATAAAATCTCCTGAGAAGTAAGAAAAGAGATCTTATGTTTTCTTCCTGATCTGGTTGATCTGGTGACATCCTTTGATCAGAACAAAAGATTATAATAGTCCATCAGGGAACTGACGTCTAGCATGATACTGCTCATCTAAGTAGCTAAATGCTTGATGAAATGAACTTTGGAAAAACTTGAATACGTATCTTTTAGTACAGATTTATAACTGTGTAACTTTCCCATGTTTGAACCATTGAAAGAGTCTTCAGAGAGGGTATCATTTCACCGATGATGAGAGAGTTGTGTAACTGGCTTTAAGGAACGCCTCCCTTATTTTTACAGTGAAGAGATGAAAAAATCTTTCTGTTCATTGAGAAATAATTGTCAATAAGAAGGATGATTAAGTTGCAAAAAACAAAAAATTTAAATTCATATGTAAATGAATTTTTAAAAACAAATTCTTATATTTTCATTCTGGAACAAGTGGATCTGTTGATCCTTTTCTTACCAAACCAGCGGTATCTGGATTCCATCAAATACATATTAAATGACGCAGTTGTGAATAGAACCATGATAGCACCAGCACCATGTAATCCTCCTATAAACGTGTTCAACCATAATTAGCTGAAATAATTATGTGACGGGCAAATATTTTTGTTTATCACAGTCTCCCAAACAGACAATATAAAAAATTGTATTCCAATTTTATCTAATTTTATCTAATAATGTATATATATATATATATATATATATATATATATATGATGTGTTAGATATAATTTTATTATATTTATTTGTTTTAGACTACTTCAGATCTTTGGCCAGATCCCTTGAGAAAAGCATGGCTAACCTAGAAAGAGAGCCGCGAGCAGCCGAAAGGATTGTAGATTTGGCACACGCTACTGCTGGCCTTGTGGTGCTTGGCAAGGCCGTGTCCAATACGGCACCAGACATTGACTTTGGAGACAGTTAGTATCATAATCAATCATGCAATTTAAACTAATTTACAATAGTTTTGCAGATTTGTTAATTTATTTTTTTATTCATAGATGAATATTAATTTAGGATTTTTAGTATTCTTTAGGTGACTACTAGCCGAGATATGTTAGTGAAATTTCAGTTATTTTGCCGACATTCGAGAGGGCTTATATTTTATAATTATATCTTTCACTTATGGTAGACATTTCTGATAAACAGCAATTTTTGGCTGCCTTATTACTGTACTGTGTAATAAGGATCGGGATTTGATCTTGTAATCTTTATATTACTCCTATTCCTCAATTAACATGGTTAATTAGTCCTCCTAAAGTACTGTATAAACTGAAGAGATTTTATACTCCATTCCTCCAACTTTCTACTATATATAATTTTTTTGTGTTTAATATTGGGTTGTCTGGAAAATAATGCAGAATTTCGGTTTTCTTTAAAATACCTCTCTATATAACAAACTGTTTATGTTTACGGGATTATTTATTTGTATGAATGTCAACACTTATTAATCCTCTTCCGAACAATAATGTTTGTTTACCTCTGTAGCGTTTTGCTCCTTAGAAATAATTCAGTCTTTATTAAGATATCCACGCATGATTGTAGTATAATTTTGTTTTACAAGTTTAGGCACGACCAGAATGGGACCCAGACAGCCAGAAACATCAATCAAGTCTGGGCGAGAGCAGCATTAATGAGTACACTGCTTAACGGTTGTACAAAAATTTGGGAAGGGAGACTTCAGCCTTGAAGACAAAGAAGGTCGTGGAAGGACTTCTTCTCTTGATGGCAATGTTCTGTGGGCATTGGTGGAAGAAAACTCCTGAACAACTGTTCTGGAGCTTGCAGGAGAACTTAACCTTAGCAAATCGACCATCGATGACCACCTCAAGGCGATTGCAAAGGTAAAAAAGCTTGAAAGTTGGGTTCCACACGCATTAAACAACTGCCAAAAAAACCAGAGTTATGAAGTTTGTGCTGCACTTCTTTGCCGAAACAAAAACGACCCTTTTCTTTCCATAATTGTTACTTATGATGAAAAATGGATACTTTACGATAACAATAGACGTTCTAGACAATGGCTTGACAAAGGAGAAGCAGCAGAACATTTTCCAAAGCCCCCAACTTATCAAAAAAAGCTGATGTTTACTGTTTGGTGGGCTTCATTTGGTTTGATACACTTCAGCTTCTTAAATCCTGGAGAAACCATCAAGGCTGAATCATATTGTAACCAAATTAATGCAATGCATCAGAAATTGGCAATAATAAAGCCATCTTTGGTCAATCGGATGAAAGGGGCCCATTTTGTTATATGACAACGCCCGGCCACATGTCTCAGGTATGGCATCACAAAAACTGTTGGAGCTTGGATATGAAACTCTGCCACACTTCTGTGACAACAAATTTAATGGACAAAAGGAATTAGAAAATATGTTTTTGATGTTACCTTGATCAATTCTAAAGATGGGATATTCTATTCTCAGGGAATGGAAGAGTTGCCCACACGTTGTCAGAATTATATTGATTGTAGTAGAGACTATGTTGATTAAATAAAACAGTTGTAAATCTTTCTTTTGTCTCTTTAAACCAAAATCCTACATTATTTTCCAGACAACCCAATAGAATCTAATAAATAAATAACAATAACCCAAACCAAAAAAGGTCGTATAAAAATAAGAAATATCAGATCACACCTACTGATATTCGCAGACTACAAGTGGGAATGCAAAACAAGAACAAAAACAGAAATGCAGAGATTATGTTAAGAATTAATTTAGTTTTTGTTTAAATTATTTAAAACTGAACAATGGGCTGAGCTGAAGGTAACTCAATTCTTCGATAATGTAAATGTGAATTCACATTAATCAAAATGCGTAAATCTGAATGGTTGGTTTAATTTTATCTTTTACTAGTCTAGTACTCAGCTACCATTTGCCTTATATTATAATATGGCATAATTACAGTTATTGTCTATTTTTAGTATCTTTGCAAATTTATAAATTGATTAAAATTTTATTTTATAATCTGCTGTAGATATGAGTCCCTTTGTTATCTGTCCGAAATATGTTCATTTTCTTTATTTCTTAAATACTATTTAATTTAGAAGTTCATTGATCTTACAAAATATTTCTATTCACTGATTTTATTTTATGAATGGTTATTGGTTGCTTTTAATTTAATCGAGTTAGGTTATTATATTTCAAGTTATTTTTAAAATTTATGTAAGTAATCTTTTAGAAATACAACTTCTGTATTCCTATACTTCTGTTTATTCAATCCTTTCTGCTCTTTCTTTTGTAGAGATGAGCGACAGATGTAAAGGAGTGGGTCAATCTTGTCTTCAGGTTTTTGAAGACTCTCTCCCGCCTGATCCAGCGATATCGACCAGCATCAGTGTCATGAGGCAGACCCTTCAGGAACTGTTGGACATGAGTGAGCAGTTGCAGGCCATGCTTCAGGCCGGTAGTTCTGAATCGGTTGGTGAGATGGTCGAGTCCGAACTGGCTGCGATGGACAAGGCAATAGAAGAGGCAGCTCGTAGGATAGAGGTCAGTTATTTATAACTTTGTTACTTTTCTATATTCATTATATACACTGACAGGCAAAAAATTCCACCCACTTGTCCACACCATTAACCACGTTGGAAAGGTTGGCTCTGGGAAAAATTACAGGCTGCATATCTTTCGTTTCTTCTTCTCCACACCCTTTCACGCTCGTCTGGAGATCGAAGAGCGAATCTTGACTCATCTGTAAAAAGTACAGCACTCCATTCGTCCATAGTCCAATGGCTGTGTTCTCGAGCAAAAGCCAGCCGTGTTACTCTGTGAGTTCTAGTCAACTCTGGTCCTCTTAGTGGACGAAAAGTCATTATTCCATACTCATTTAATCTTCTCCGAGCGGTACGTTCAGAAATTTGCACACCTCGAACTTCTTCGAGCTGATGAATTTCTTGAACAACGGTAAGGTGCCGGTTTCGTAAAATTCTCAAAGTCAAAAACCCGTCATCCCGTGGTTCTGTTACCCTAGGCTGTCCAGAACCGGGCCTTCTATTGTAAGAACCCTGAAGAAGCCTGACGGCGTCTCGTAAAAGTTTCATATGGAACTCCGATGGCATTAGCTGCATATCTAATGGAACGTCCATCATCAATAAGTGCCACATCACGCGCAACATCATCAGCACTAAGAGGCATTTTTAAACTTAATATTGAAAAAGTTAAAAGCCGGAGACTAAGAAATGTGCTGCAAGAAACGGTACTGAAATAATGATACTGAATAAACATTTTGATTCCATAGAAAGTAAACATTGGAATCTAGAATCATTTCATTGAATTATTTATTGTCCACTATATTAACATTCCTAATTGAAAAGAAACAAAAAGATTACCTATTTATTCATTAAAAACAATATACCAATCCAAAGCAGAAATATGTTTAGATGAAAACATGAAAAAATCAAGTGGGTGGAATTTTTTGCTTGTCAGTGTATAATAGCCAGGTTACAGAAGTGTTTAAGTCCCAAAACTAAAATTATTCATAAAACAAAATAAACTACGTATTTTGTAGTAAATGAACTATATTTTTCATTCAAGTTTTATTCATGCTTAAGCCAAGGAAGGATGTAGCGTTTTTAGTTTGGATTTCAGAATATGCACGAGGGCAAAATTCTTCAGTAAATCTTAAAACTGCTCTTTCTGTTCCGATTGCTTTGAAATATTGACAATATGTTTCTATCGCATTCAGGAGTGTTTTTATAAACATTTAATCACCGTTCGGTCTTTCATTTCGGAAAGGCAGCCCAAAAACCTGTGCCATTATAGATTGTAACACATAAACGGCTGTAACGATTTTAATTAAACTTGGCTAGTCTTCTCCTTGAAACACTTTTAATCTATGTATAAAACATCCCTCCCCGAAAAGAGTATGAAAAAAAAGTTACGATGAGTTCAAAACTATATTTGCGAATAACTCAAAAAGTACCCAATTTTTGTTGGATTATACCCATCATTATTCTCAAAGGTTCCTTGATTCCCTTCAGATAAAGAAAAATCACTAAAATCGCACGATTTGGTGCAGGGATATAATGCTTTGAACATTTAGTAATTTTTCCTGGGAGATTTAGAGAGCGATTGCTTCTTATATAAACAATTATATGTTGCGAAATCTAGAGTTGGAAAACCAAACAATCTCTATATCTATACAAAGAATGGAACAACAAAGAATATCAGATATTCACAAGTATTGTTACATAAAATATATTAGAAGCATTTTATTTCTTTTTTACTTCTTTATTTTATTTAACCAGAATGAGCCACAGCAACGCATACAGCTAGTATTATATAAAATAATAGTAATTAGTTTGATATATAAGTACATTTATTTGAAAATAGTTACTTATTTTTGTTATAGTATTTAATAAACATTGTTTTTTTTTAATTTCTTAAGTGAATTTATAAGTAAATTTTAAAAATTATTCCATTTTTATATGGTATATAATTTTAATTTTATTTATGGTGTAATTTTAATAAAATCCAATTAGCAATTTACCATGATTGTAACTAAAAGAAAGTATGGTGCTATTTTTATGCATTCATTGTCGGCAGGTATTACACTCATTATCAAAATGTTAGACACACTTCAGAAATTGTTATCCCTGCCCTCCCATCTTTTCAAATTACCCGTAAAACAGTTAATTAGCAACCTGCTTGTATTTTGGTTCTCAAGCCAAAAATATATACTTTTTTTTTATTTTTCAAATTAAAGTTAAGGCCCGTCAGAATGTCAGACACGTTCCCTGGTAAAAGTAAACAAAACTCATTTAAATATTTTGTGGCCTTTCCACCACCATTTATTAAATCAAAAATTCTGTTTGGTAATGAATGGTATGATTGTTTGATTGCTTCTTGAGGTAATTGTTCCCATGAATCCAGAATTGCAGATTTCAAATCCTCGATTGCTCCGAACTGTCTGGGCTCAAAGTGCACTCTTCTTGAAAGAGTTCCACAAACATTTTTGACAATGTTCAGGGCTGGGGAGACAGCAGGCCAGTTTAATTTGGCAATTTTGTTGCGAGTAAACCAGTCTTTAATAATTTTTGCTGAATGTATTGAGGGCCTATCTTGCTGGAAACTGGTGTGCCTTCAAACATGTCATTAAAAGTCAACTTTTGTTCCCCTAACAAATTTTTATATTCAGCTGAGTTTACTCTTGATGAAACAAATACCAATTTATTTTTGTAACCAATTTATGCCCAAACCATAACTTTTCCTCCTCCCATTTGACTCCTTGATAAAATATTTTCTTCTTTTCTTAAGTCATGAAAATAATACGAAAATCCATCTGGCCCATCTAGATTGAATTTTTTTTCATTATTAAAGATGACTTTCTTCCACTCCTCAGTAATTTCTGAGGGGTACTCAAAACTGGCTTTCTTTTCATTTTTTTTTTACTTTTTTAATAATCTTTGGACATTCCTTAGTTTTGTTTGAACTCCAGCTTCCTCATCAATCGCTCTTGCTGTTTTAAAAGAGTTGGATGCGATTCGAAAAATATTCCGTTTTCCTCATAATGTCAAAGCAGGGAGCCTCCCAATAGAACGGTGGGTTCCATATGTCTTCCCGTGTCGAATAAAATTCGCAACTGGTTGAAAAACTCTGCTTGATTCGGGGGCCTATTTCCCTACAACTCATCCCGTCCTTGTGGAGTGAAAAAATCAAACGGCGTCTCCTTCGGAGAAACACTTATTTTTTCCTGTAACTCATGTTCCTTTTAGGTCTATTTTGACACAAACCCAACACTGCATTGAGGGAGAAATGGTATTTTAATGATTTAAACTCTAGATTATTAAGAAAATAGTAAACAACAACAAGTGTGTATCATTTTGACACATATAAAATGTAAATATTTACTGATATTGGATTTAAATAATCCTCAAGGTCTGAGAAGATTGTCCCCATTTCAATATCATAATTTATACTTTAAACTGTGCTTAAAATCATAATATCAATCAAAAATAAAAAAAGATGAAAAGTTTTTTTTAAATTTCAATGGCCTAGGACTCCACCTGGACAAACGTCTAACTTGGAATCCTCATACCAGACTGAAACGACAAGAAACCGCTTGACGTTTTCGATTACTTCAGCACTTACTAGACAAACGCTCTAAACTTCCAATTAATTACAAAAGACTCATATACATAACTATAATAAGGCCTTTTTGGACTTACGTAGTTGAGCTATGGGGCTCCGCTAAACCATCGAATTCCTCTCGCATCCAATCCTTACAATCCAAAATCCTTTGTAAAATTCTCAATGCTCAATGTAGACATATCATTAGAGTGCTACCATTGGGTAGTTACTCAACAAGTGTTTTCACGTCATTATATTCATGTATTCAAATTTACTAAATGTATTTATTTCTCTTATACAGTTGTAAATATTAAGAAATAATAATAAAAAAAAAAATTTCAATGGGCGTGTTTAACATTTTGACATTAAGTGTCGTAGTATCCTAGGCAAATATTTATTTATTTGCTATGTCATCTTATTGCTTCCTCATTACCAAAGGTTGGGAAGCTTTGTATTTATTTATTGTTATTACAATCAATAAAACCATTTTACAGCCACAGGAACTTGACATGCTGTCCTTAAAATTAAGTGAATGTGTTTGAGTATCACGTGAATTTTAATGAAACTGGTTATCTGAAAACAATAAAAATTATTTGATATATCTTTTTTTTTTTTTTTTTTATCACCAGATTTATTAAAAAACATATTTTTAAAAATTACAAATCATACTTGTAATTTTATTGTAAACATAAACAAAGTTAATAAAATTACTTGCACTGGTAGAAGAACTAAGACTTCTGCAAATCGGGTGTTTCATACTTTTTGCCAGCCTCAGACAACTTCTTGGAGGTTTCCGCCCCATTCCAACCAGAGAGTTGTCAAGAAACTACTATATTGTTAATGTAGCGTTTTATTATTTGTCATTGTACTTTCATAGCCTTTTGTTTATTTTTACATACGTTGTTCAATAATCTGTAATATTATTATAGGAAATGTTAAGTAATTCACGAGCTGCAGACTCAGGAATCAAATTAGAAGTGAATGAAAAGATATTGGACTCATGTACTGGACTGATGCAAGCCATTCGCATTCTCGTTCAAAAATCGAGGGTCTTACAGGCTGAGATAGTGGCTAAGGGAAAGGTATGAAAATTATTCTATTTTATTTTCCAAGGCAATAATGGGTTTCGTTCAAAGTGGGTCAAAATTAAATTTAATGTTTAACCATCTATTCAAACTAAAGGACAGGGCTTCACTTTATTTTACAGTTGAATAAATTTCAATAAAAATTGAAATTTTGTGAATAAGGTTATTGTTAATAATAGAAGCAGATATTAGTAAGTGACAGTTTGTTTTTAAAATACTGAGAAATTTTTTAATCGATGTTGCATACAATAGTATTAGCTCATTAGATTGTGTATCTGTATTGTTTTATACTGCATATTTATTCCTTTCATTTAAATTTATTGAATAAATCAACCCACTTGTTATTGTTCTCTTGTAAAATTGACATTTTGCCTGTTGTGATAAATCAGAAAAGAATTCTGTTCAATTTAATGAGGGTATAGTTTCTCATTGGTGCTCGTTTTCTATTTTATTTTTTTAAATTATTGAATAACTTTTCAGGGCTCTGCGTCTGTGAAAGAGTTCTACAAGAGAAACCACCAATGGACAGAGGGTCTTATCTCAGCTGCTAAGGCTGTCGGCATGGGCGCCAATTATCTCTTGTATGAAAAATTTAATTTATAATTTTTGTTTTCATGATTAATAATGTACCAATATTTTTAGGTTTATGCTTATGTCATTCCATTTTTTATTTAGAATAAATAAACTAGTATTTTGGTACAACTAAAATTATTCATTTTCTTTATATGTTATAGAGAAGCTGCAGATGAGGTAGTGACCTCAAATGGGAAGCTGGAGAAGGTGATTGCTGCAGCTCAAGGTATTAGTGCCAGCACAGCACAGCTAGTGGTCGCCAGTCGAGTGAAAGCGGACCGTGGCAGTGCTGCTCTTAATGAGCTCACACAGGCTTCGAAAGGAGTCACTGCAGCGACAGCAACAGCCCTCACTGCTGCCTCCGCCTGCTCAAATCTCATCGACAGTGCACAAGGTCAATAGAGAAGTTGAATAATTCTTAACAAATCTTTAATTATTTTCTAGACTTGTTTAAGTAAGAGACTAAATTCATTACAGATGATCTGGACATGAGCAAACTGTCATTGCATAATGCTAAGCGCCTGGAAATGGAGAGCCAGGTACGCGTACTGGAATTGGAGAACCTTCTTACAAAAGAACGCCTGAAACTGGCAGCGCTGCGCAGGCATCACTATTCGCTGTCGCCCGAATCGGATCAGCCTCTCCCGCTCTAACCATTTGTATAGCCCCTTCTGTGAATACTGTAATTATATTGATTTAGAGTCAGTATTTGTGTTTTACACTGAGGAGGAGTTCCTTAGATCTTCTGCCATAGTGTGTTTTTTTTAAAATGTATATATACCATTCCTGTATTGGAAGTTGAGGTTGACATTTTGAAGTTTGTCGGTGCGTTACCATGGATAGAGTGTATTAATGATGGGCTTTTTATATTTAAGCGAGTTAAATCATCATTGTATTGATTTATTATTTATTAATCATTCACTTTGCTGGCTAAAGACTAAATTAACCAAACATAATTTATCGGATGTTAAATTTTATTCAGTGGAAATTATGACCGTAGCATTCACCTATTATTTCACTTATACATAAAATCAAAGTATTTACTGATCCTTATTTTATGTAAATGGAGTTTGATAATAATTATTATTAAGTCCATACATATTTTGTATTTTTATAATTGAATTGTCTATATTACTAACTGTTAACTTGCTTTCTTTAGTGTAACATTGCAATATCCTGGATATGATATATTTTATTAACTAATATATTTTTTTTGTGTGTGTTTCATACATTCCAGATGTTTATTATTTTGGTTAAAACCTGATCTTCAGAATTCATAAGTGGAAAAATAATACTGATATAATGATTGTAGTTGGAAAACTTTTAATTTAGGAATGAAATATTGTTACAAATCATGTAAGAAGTAAAGGGGAAAAAATCACAATTTTAAATTGCCTGGTTTTATATTAAAAAAAAATAATAATAATTAACATTAACCGAATCTATCTGCGAATTTGGAACATTGGAGCTAAGTCTTGATTAAAAACAATTCAGTAAGCTGATATTATGTCTTATTACTTTTTGTTAACATTATTTATAAAAAGGCATTTTTTTAACTTTGAAAAATAAACTACTTTTTAACCTTATTGCATCAGATATTTGTTTCATTTTAAAAATATTGTTGCTGAATTTAAGTCTATGATTTGAAGCTAATTGCTAACCTTTATGCCTTATTTAGAAGATGGTTTTATTGAACTTCTGATACTTATTGAATCGGTAGTTACCTGATTGGTAAAGTTTATCATTAAAAATAATAAATTTAGTTTATTAAATTTTTACAAATTAAGAAAAATAAACCTACTTGATATTTCTTAATTCACAAACAATTTAACATTATTTTTGTGCGTATGTTAATAAATAATTTAACCTATGATAATTATTTTATTTATAAATGAAGTATTACTTTGCAAAAAATAATCAAAATTTTACCGAGTGTTTTATTATATCATATGCATAAATAATAATGACAGGAATCGTTTAAAATTTGTGTTGTTATATGAATGTTGAATTCAATACTTGGTCATTCGATTAAAACATAAGCTCGTTGTGTAGGCTTTAGTGTAACTATGGTTTTGTTTTTTATTGTTTCTGTATAATTGATTAATAAATATTCAAGTCAATTTACAACAGTATATAATAACTGAATTATGATTCATGAATGCCAAGGGTTTATTTTTATATATTTTAAGGCAATAAATTATCTATATAAATTAATTACATCTCAATAACTTTCTAAAATAAAATTCAAAACTTCATAATAATTCAAAATTATAAGGTTTCAGTAATAACTAAGAATATTTTTGTTATTCAGATTTTCTTTCAACAACATCAATGCTGAATAAGTAGAGAGTAATAATTATCCAATTATTTTTATTTTATGATTTTCTTAAATTAAAAAATATAAATATGATTAAGGATCTAGGTAACAAACATTAAATATAATATAAATATCAAGAATAACGAATAAACTAAATAAAAATTGGTTATTTAATACATTTGTATTCTAATAATTTCCAAAGCTCTGGTAGCCAGTCAGCTCTTTGCGTGATAGTGAAGTCGAATATTTAATTCTAAGTTTGTTTGTAGTTCTATTAAAAAAAGTGTGTTTTATATATTTTTATCTATTGAGTCTAATTTTAAAAGAACACTTTGCTGTTATATTTTTGTAATTGTTAGTGCGTGTGTAATGAGATTATATATCTATTAAATATTGTATACTTTTTTATTAATAGTACAAAATCATTATCAAACTTCATCTATCATTAACAATGAAATTTAACAAGTCCTTTATTTTATTGATATTACAATGCCAATGTATTATAGCATATTTCTATGTATATTTTTAAATATAATTAACTGATTAGATATTTCCTTTTTTTTTGTTTCCCCTATTGTTTTCGCTTAGTACTTAGCTTTTTATCATTAAATCATGTTTTTTACTTTCACTTACCTATATACGTAATACATAGTAAGGGAAAGTATTGCAATTGTGAAAATTTTCGAATCTGAGTTTTCAACGGAAATACAAGTTTTGAGGTACCCTGAGTCCAAATAACCAAGTCCCGAAAAATGGTCTGTGTTTCTTTGTATGTGAACACTAGCTCAAAAACGAAAAGTTGTAAGAAACTGATATTACGTATTTAAGACAGGTAATATGCCTTAGATGTCACATTAACTTTTTCCTTAAAATCGGCTAACCAGAAGTGCCACTTTATATCAACGGTGAAACACATTTTTATAATTTTCACAAAATGGCTCTAACGATTTTGATTAAACTCGGTGTATCATTGTATAATGAAGTGGTCTTTAATATCAATCAGGTCTTATTCCCATTGATGTCACTTTACAGGGCTTAAATACCCAATGTTCATATACGTCTTCCTCTAAAGTACCTTTAATATGGTTTATTTTAAATAATTACATATCTCTCATTATTAAAAATAACAAAAAAATGCTAAATATAATTTTTGAAAGAATTTGATAATTGAATAAAGGAGACAAAAATAAAAATGCTTATTCAGGTCAAAAATGAATCTCCGGAAATACTAGTCAGAAGGTGTATGTATAATATATCGTTGGAAAGCTGAGAATTTTAGAAAAAAAACATTTCTAATATAGAAAGTTGTGGAAGGTAACGAAGAGTGGCGAAAAAATTATATATAATAATTTTTGAAAAATAGTAATATTTAACGTAAATCACATGTTTTCAAGGAAATTGAATAAACTTACGAACTAAATGTAAACTTTAAAAAATATTGTCAAGTTTGAAAAAATATATTTAAAATCCACCAAATCAATGGTATTCCATCAATGATCAGATTTTTTTTCAATGAATTGGAAAAAAATAGTTTCATAATGATTAATTAATTATTGAAGACATACCTGAAAGAACTCTAATGTGTAATATCCAATGTTATAGACCTCTTTAGATGCATGCCATGTACTAGAGGAAGGATAAAGCTTGTATCTATTCTACAATTTTTGAAGAGCCATAGTATGATGAAAATAGTAGGTATAGAATAATTAATGTTTTAATTATTTTTTATTGTCTATAGACTAGGGGGGGGGAGAACCTTTTTATCATTATCAGGTTAGGCAGTGCTAATAGAGGCAGAAATAATTTTTTATGTTTTACTATTGCTATTTTTATTTATAAGTAAATACAAACACACATATATATTCTACTTAAATATAAATTTTCCAAAGAAATTGATTGATATATATCTTCTTCAAAGGCACGACAGACACACTAGGCAGCCCTTGGCCTGCTCCAACGCTCTTGCCCAGGCTCCTCGATCTCCAGCAAGTGACAGTGAAAGGCCATACACAGCCAGATCTGCAGTTAAACTGTCTCTCTCCATCTTCCTTATGGTCTTCCATGCGCTCTCACTCCCTCTGGAAGGCTAGAATAGAGTTTTTGGCTGTCGGGTCATTGCCCTTAATAGGTGGCTCAACCGTTGTAATTTTATGATTTCTGAGACTTAGATTTCCATAGACGCGGTCAATGTCACATTTTTCTTTTGTTGACGCCACTCTCCATTCTCTTTGATTGGTTTCAGCACATATCTTAATAGTTCCTGCTTGAAAAAGTCCATTTTGTTTGCTGCTGTATCATTTAACACTCGTCTCACATGCATAGGTCGCAATGGGTCATATTAACATTTTGTATAGTGTTATCTTTGTTGTGCGACTGATCAATCTACTCTTTAGAAGATGCGTGATCGAGTATTATGCTTTATTGGCAGCAACAATACGTGCTTTGATTTCCTCATCCTTATCCAAGGCCACATTTATTCGATCCCCAAGGAACTTAAAACTTGAGACATTATCGAAGGAGCTGTTGCCAACAATGTACCTGTTTTGAAGATGCCTCAAATTCTTTCTCTTCATTACTGCTATCTTTGTCTTCTCGATGTTTACTTGAAGAACATATGTCTGAGCGTTTTCCTGGAAACTTTCAAATGAATCTTGATTGATATATAGTAACCTAAAAATTCGGGCAAAGCAAAGGCAAAAATAAACAACGTAATTTTGTTTGAAATTGTATAAAATATATTTTTTTTTATTCCTAGAGCTTATTGGAAAGAATACTGGGATATGTGTCCAATATTTTTTGATGTAGTACCACTGAAAAAAAATGGTTGAAATAGATGACCCACTGACTGTTGCCTCCCTCCCCTTGTTAGTTCCCTTTCCTACTTAATAATTCATTTATAGATATTGTAAGTATAATTATTGAAATTAATATTATCAAAATTAATATTAATAATAAATGTAATAAAATAAATAAAATGTTCAACAAATTCAAATTATTGCCATTTTTATAAATTATTGATTATTTTATGGTTTTTAGCATAAAATGTCTTGTTTTATTGCACCCAAACGATAACTTTTAAAAATATGATTTTCATTTTTTGATTCTTATCTTAACATTTTGATGTACTGTAAGAGAAGGTTTGTGTTTAAAAATAAACTATGGCTACATACAACATTTATTTACAATCTTTACTAAATATTTTGTGACAGAAAGCGGTCAGATGAAGAAGTAAAAATATTATGGAAACCAGAACCCCCACAAATGTGATATAAACCGTGTAGGGCACGGTGATGTGTGCATCTGTGGTGTTCACAATAATTGAGAGATCAGCTGTTCTAATACATTTGGTCGTTTGAAACTCTTGCTGAACGTTGCGGCACTTTTTGTAAAAAGGGTCATAAAGATGGTCTTCATCACACGGCTGGGTCATTCCAGGCAGCCCACCGCTAAGATCGAATAAAACAGAAAAATCACTGAGGCTGAAATGCTTATCAAATTTTTGCTTCAATGAGAGCCTAGAGCATTGAAGAATTTGAATTGGGACACTGTTGCATATACCACAATGTGGATTCCTGTACACATTATTGCCAAAGTAGACTATGGACGTGTAAGCTTCGCATCTTGTACGAACTTCAGAATTAGTCCAATTGACTGCACAAGTTTTGATCACATCTGGGATACAATGACGAATCAATTTTTCTGTGGCATTTGGTGGCGTGGGGTCGATAGAGCAAGGATGGTATCTACCTTCGAAATCAATACCCCAATATTTATTCTCTTGGTGGAAATAAAGTAGTTCGCTGACATTTTGATTTATTTTAAGAGGTATACCAGCACACTCGATTCTGGGATGCCAGAAGTCCAGATCCTCAACTTGGTGGCAGATGGCACAGAAAAGGTTTCGGTAGGTGATACCTGACTGCGGGTGAGTTGCCGGTATTCCAGCGATCGGGTCACTGACATTATCGGAGGCATTCTCGCAGGCTGCCTGAATGTTTGTTTCAGCCCATTCTGGAGGACAGGTGGTTCGCATGTAGATGCCACCATACTGGCGCAAATCCTCGCAGTGGAAAGATGCTGCGCCACGCCGCTGTTGTTGCAGCTCGAAGTGTGGTGAATCAGGGCAACAGTCTCCATAAGTGATGCATTTTTCATCACAAAGGCAGTTTCTTTCCATCCACAACGTGTGTCCAGTCGTTTCTTCAAGCACGTCTGCACAGCTTTCTTTACTATCGCATGTCCTGTAATAAATATAGGCATGGGTTAGTCAATTAGATAAGTAGTAATCGTTCTAGAATACTGTAATATACATCTTTATTGGAAGTTAGTAAAAATGGCTGTTCTGTAGTTTCCTCAGAAAGGAAAATCCCAAAGAGGAGAGGGGGCAAAGGATTTTTGTTTTGGCAAGCAGTTGGTGTTTGGCTAGGGTGAAGAGAGGATGGGAGAAGGTATCCTCGCTCCAGTATGTTGAACCCAGTAATAGTATTAGGATCTTGGAAGTTATTGTTTGGCAGGGGCCATAGTTGTTTGGAATCATAAGAGAAAGGATCTCCCAGGGAGTTGAGTAGATGAAACTGTCACCATTTTGGAAGTTTTGTTTGGCAGAATATTGGAAAGCATTTGAAGACAAATGAATTCAGTGCCACAAAAGAAGAAACAGCGTTTCTAGAAAAAAAGTTAGATTCCCAATTCCTACTTGACTTTATTTTAAAATCAAACAGTGTTTAGTGTAGTTAATGTTAGTCTGTCTGAGTATTTTGATTTGATTGTCAATAACCCACATCTGATATAAATTAATTATAAATTTTAATTTAATACATTAATACTCTTATAATTTTGTTTATTGTTTAACAACCTCTTATTTACTTAGGAAGTATCCCAACAGTATAAAGTGATCTTCCGAGGTATTATTACTAGTTACTAATTACAGTAAGATAAGATAAGAAATATTACAGTACATTGTAACTCAAGTGTTATCATCGGACTTAAGGTGGGATCTACAATCTTCAAAGAGAAAAATGTTTTACTTCGTTTATATCAGTTAGATTTTGAAAACTCTAGTAAAAATTGAAATAATATAGTATATGTGAATAATGTTGATACTACTTACTATTTGACTGATATTTTGTACCACAATGTTACATTTGATTGAGGTAATCCTAACAATGACTAGTCCTGTAGCTTAGGCCATTCATTCCAAAAAGTTTAAGTTACTTTCTTCGGTTGTCTTAACCATTGGTTTACCAAACCTTATTATCATTAAATGTTTGAATGAAAAAAAAAATAGCAATCGTAATCAGTTCCTGATTATTATAAGAGATATTAAATGCTTAAAGATGGGGATTTTCAATAAATTAGTTTACAGCAGCACTGACCTAAAGGTGGAGCAACCGTGGAGAGTGCCAGTTGGGGGCGGCGATCGTCAGATGTACTCGCTGCTTATTAGAAATTTAAAAAAAATTAATACAAAACGCACTCTCTTAGTTAATCCCCTTCTCCATTTGATGATTCATTTATAACTATTTTAAGTATAATTATTGAAGTTAAATT